GTAACGTGACCCTAGGGGCCGTCCTGTCGCAAGGTCCAATTGGTTCAGATAAAACGATCTGTTTTGCTAACAGGACCCTAAATAAGTCGGAACAAAACTATAGTTCCATAGAAAAAGAACTGCTGGCGATAGTTTGGGCTACCAAATATTTCAGATCGCATCTATTCGGCAGAAAATTTAAAATAGTTACCGACCATAAACCGCTCACTTCGATTTTTTCGCTTAAATAGTGATAGAACGATACAAGTACCGAGTACAGAATATCGATACTTTTCCTGAGTACTGAGTAGTATCGAGCACTCGATACTTTTTGCCAAGTACTGAGTAAATATCGCGAATGCCAAAGAGTATCGACCGGTTAAGAACTTTTTTAAGTATTTTTTGTTTTTTAATTAACCAATAAATATTGTGGCGAACGCTCGAATATTCATGCCTATTATGGTGGAGGGAGTTTTACTCACTTTTGACAGATTTTGGTATTATCGAAAGCGCTCGATAATGAGTCAAAATAGGTTAATGCAGTTTACGAATGAAATAAAAAAGTGGCATCATTGAAAACGCTTCCGATCCGTGATTCGTACAAATTTCTCTATCTGTCATTCACGCGCCATTGTGCTGCGGATACTAAAAACGATAAGATGGATAGCAATAAAATGTAAGAAAAATCACTATTATTTTCCCTTTAATATTGTAATATTGTAAGAAATACACAAACGTATGTGTTTTAGGAAGCATACAACGACCAGGGAGCAATTTAAATGTTTAGTTTCCAAAATGAAGGAGCATCCGGACATAGTAAAAAATTTTACTAAAAATGCACCTGATTTGGTAGAAAGATTTTAGGAAAGTGTGCGAGAGGACCGCCATCAAAAACCATTGCCGAATGGAAAAAGGTTTGCGAAATGTTGAAAAGCTAAAATATATTATTTACTAAGTTTGAACCACAGGTTTGGTCGGATTATAAATCGGCGATAAAGAAGAAGCTCGCGCATAACAAAAGAGAGCTACATGCGACTGGTGGAGGAGAAAATAGGGAGATTCCCTTAACATCTAGGGAAGAAGAAGTTGCTACCCTTGTGTGTCTTAATCAGGGTTTGGATTTGCCTCATTTTGGCCCCTCGCTCGCTCGTTAGTTTGCTCTGAGTTAGCGCAACTCACGAGGAACACGCGAGGCTGTTTGCAAATGAGCACTCGTTAGGTACGAGCGCACGCGATGAGTAGCCAGCGAGCGAGTCAGCAAACGAGGGCGGCGCAAGAGTAGAGCGTAAAGCAAACGAGGGCCTCATTAGCTCTGCCCTCGCGAGAGGGGCGTTGCGAGCGAGGCACTCATTTGCAGCAGCAGACGAGCGAGGCGAGTAAATGAGCGAGGGAAATGAGGCAAGCAGATTAGACAGGCAAACGGGTTGTTTGGTCAGCAAAAATGTATGGGATAAAAATTGCATCAACTAAGAATTTAGAGCAAACGATTGTATGCACACATGTAGATATGTATATACATACATATATACACATATGTATGTATTTATTTATGTATATATTTTCATGCACAGAAGAATAGATGCGTGCTATTTTTGCCAGTTTTATCTACTAGGTAGGCTCATATGTGCATACATATATATTACTATGTACTTATACGCACGTATTATTCGCAAATAACAATTTGCAAAATGGTAAAATTTGCCGTATAAACGCTGAGTTAACTTTTTATTTGCAAATAACTAAATCACGCAAATAAGTATTGATTAGTGCTACTATTTGCAAATAAGCGCAAGACGCCGCCATTCTTAGGTTTATTTTCTTTTTCGATTGTCATCTTATTGCCTTTTTATAATCAAGACGTTGCCATTTTTAACTTTATTTTCTTTTTCGATTGTCATATTTTGCCTTTTTATAATCAGGCAATATTAAAAAAGAATTTTTCACCATCGAATAAACAGTGAGTTAGGTATTTGCAAATTATTTTTATTTGCAAATAGCTTACGTATAAACGTAGTATATGTAGGTAACGTGACCCTAGGGGCCGTCCTGTCGCAAGGTCCAATTGGTTCA